TCCAGATCCGGATTGTGTTGGCTCTTGTCTCGTTTCCTTCTTAGAAGGTACTCCCTCCTCCCTGGGAACCTGTAGTCCACGGGTGTCAAACATATTGCAACTTTTTTTGCATTGCCAGAGCTGGGGTAGGTGTGGCCTCTGCATGATGCAACCAGCCCGCAGGCCGGCAGTTTGACACCCCTGCTGTAGTCTATCACAGACATATATTTTTTGCTGAGCAAATCATTGAGCAAATAACAAACAAAAGAATTAAAGTGCCAACAACTACAAGCAGGGTTGCTTAAAAGAGTTGCATTGTAGTGCCTTTAATGTCTATCCTGAAGATGATCCCTTCCTTGGAAGTGACCTCTTACTTGTTAAATGTAATCCTTCTTGAAAGAACAGACTAGGGCTTCTCTCTCTCTTTTCTTCTCCATTCAATTACACCTTCCTTTAATCTCTTCTTATTCAATTTTCTTCCCACTTTTCTATTTCATTCTCCTCTCAGTGCAGGTACAACTTTCCCTTAGCACAACATCTTCTTGATTTTTTCCCTTTGTTGTTGTTTCTCTGGTATGGAGGATGCATGTGTGTTTCTGTCTGTGTATGTGTGCGCGCACAGGCATGACCACTTGTATGATAATGGGGAAATTGGGAGTCAACTTTAAACTGGTACAGAATGCAGCTGCATGGGTTGTAAATAGCATTGGCTATTCAGCACACATAACATTATTGCTTTGCTTTGGTTACCAGTGTCTTTTCAAGTGCAATTCAAGGTGATGGTTGTCAATTTTAAAGCCCTCCATGGTTTGGGAGCAGGTTACCTAAAGGACTGTCTTTTTCCAACAGTTTGTATCTGGTCCAATCTGGTCTGGTAGGATGGGCATACTCCAGGTAGGTAACCAGATGTGTGTACCTTTTCTCCTGCAATCGGGATGGCCTTGACCCTGTTGGCGTTTCAGAAGGCCTTGAGATCCTGGCTATGTATCCAGGCCTGGGGTCCTGAGTCTGTGAAGGGCCCAGTTCCTGGTTATGCTGACAGGAACAGATTACAATATCTCTTGGTTGCTCTTTGTATTTATTTTTTTCCTGTATTGTGTTTTGATTGTTTATATGAGTGTTCACTGTCCAGAGTTTGAAATGGGCTCAACATACTGAATAAATAAATAAAAATACAGTACACTCTTATGCAGGAATATATTGTAAAGAATATATATTTTTATTGCAAAGATGCTTAGAAAAATAACATCTTCACAACATCATATACCTAATGCTGAACTGATATAAAGTCTATCCTTATTCATATCATGCTTGCACAAAAATTATCAGTTGATACTGGAAGATGCTATCTAACAGAAATTGTTAATCATTTTTTGCTCATGGCCCCCTCATTCACTTCTGAAGACTCTCTCCATCTGCACTACACACCAATCAAACAAGGGTTCCCCAAAGTAGTTAATACTGACCCCCAAGAATCAATTAAATTATCCATAATTGTGTTTGTTATAGTTGGTTGAACAGTCAGCCAGACATTTATATTGGCTTTGGCGTTTTAATTCATTTATCAAGTCCTTCCCAAAGGCCTGGGATGGGCAGAAGTTGTTTAATGGTACTAAAGGTATCATTGCAGGATGTAAGCTCCTCAAAGTAAACCTGCCTTTTGCAACTGACTGATGGTAATTTTGTCAATGCCAATGGTGTAGAAGTGGTGCTCCAGTTGCTTTGGGATTGTTATTGTTATTATAACTTGTTATAAGTTATTATAACTTATTAGTTAAAATGCTATTTTTAAATTATGTTCACATAATAAATGTTTGGGAGTTGATGAACAACATGAAACTTCATAAAGGGGTCAATGAGCTCATGAGTTTGGGAATCCTTGATTTAAACTGTATCATATATACACTGTGGTCCTTTAGAAACATGTTATGACCCTCTGGGGGCCACGTGGCCCAGGCTGAGAACCACTGCTATATGTCAGACTAGGGAGTGACTTCTGATAGATAGGTGCAGTTGAGAGAGTATGACTGTCTTCTAATAAGGTACAATCTATCACTCAACACTAGTCTACATTGCTGCTTTAGGTGCCACATTAAAGAAAAAGAGAGAAACAGCCAGGCCTGCAAGGTTCTTTTCCATTGTCAATATCTTCCACATTTTTTGCTTGCAAGTCATTACCTAGTTTTGCTTGTACCGAGTTCTCTTTACTAAAGCTGATTAGCAAAGATATGGTTATCAGTCCAGCTCCCCAGCATGGCCTCTTGCATCCCCCATGGTTGTTATGCAAATAACACACGTAAATGTTAAACTTACTGTTTCTTACTTCTCTGCTCATTTCCTTCTGTCCAGAGAAAAAGGAAGGGCATCCGTGACAAGTGCGTTTGTGCTCAAAGCATATCACAATGAGATTATCATTCTTGCTATTTTTATCTTTAGATTGCAACAGGCAAGGAGCACTCTGTTATCTGCCCAAAACTGCCTAATGAAGACAGAGCAGAGTTGAGTTTTGAGTGCAAGGGTTGTTTATACTGATTTGTTCACCCAGTTGCCAAATTGTCACAGAACAATGGCTGACTAGCATAAAAGTAGATACAATAAGAATTGAGCCATGATTCCGTTCTATGGTTCCAAGCTAAATTTAGCCTTATGAACTGAGATACACCTACCTATTCTGAAAGACAGATGGGAATGAAGAGTCCCAGAATTGTTGGGAGTCAGGTCACATATATTTAACAAATAATAATTCCCATAAATTGGCCTGAAGGTTCCAAAATAAAATCCTTCAGAAGTATTATTGAACATTCAGAAGTATTATTGAACACAAACAGAAGTATTATTGAACACAAACACTTATAGCAGCCAGTCTGTTAAAAGGAATACTGATCCATCAAGGGATTTTTTTTTAAAAAAAAACCTTCTACCTCTCCTTTTGAATTAGAATAAAAGAAAAATAATTTAAAAACACCAGGATACAAAGGAACAAGAGGCTCATTGCAATCCTAAAGCCAAGGGTTAATGAAATAGATTGGCACTAAAATGGACATTTACTGCTGAAGCTTATTAAAGGCACCACAAAGGATGCCTAAGGAAAAAGAGTGGGAATATTTGTTCCAGAGATATAAAAATAGTAACAGTAATAACAAAGACATTTGGTCATAATTGAAAAAGTAATGAAAATGACAGTTGGTGGTAAATGTTCATACAGAACTCTAAAAGAGAAATTATGACAGGATTACACAAACGTATCCATTAATAGAGAGTAATAACTGTGAAGATTAGCTGTAAAGCACTAACATGCCTGCAGCTGAGAAGCAAAACAGATTTAAATTGCGGTTCTTGTTCTTTTAAGCAAAACAGAGATGAAACAATTGTTCGACTGTGATATTCAATAATGCACAGACGGTTCAGGGCACCCTCACAGAATCCATGCAGTCAGAAGAAACTGTGCATGTCTTTTGTAATTTACCCCAGCTAGAAAATGTCAGGGTTTCACAGGTTGTGTGTTTAGCACGTGCAGGTAGTACTTGACTTATAATAGTTCATTTAGTCACTGTCTGAAGTTACAACATCACTGAAAAAAGTGAATTATGACTGTCTTTCACACTTACAACCTGTTGCAGCACCCCCATGGTGATATGATCAAAACCCGGATGCTTGGCAACTGACTCATTTATGACGGTTGCAGTGTTTGGGATGATGTGATCACCTTTTGCAACCTTTTGACAAGCAAAATCAAAAGGGAAGCCGGATTCACTTAACTACTGTGTTACTAACCTAACAGCTGCATTGATTCACTTAACAACTGTGGCAGGAAAGGTCACAAAATGGTGCAAAATTCCTTTTAACAACTGTCTCACTGAGCAACATAAATTTGGGGGTCAACTGTGGTCGCAAGTCAAGGACTACCTGTACCTAGAGGCATCCTTCTAACCAGACACCCTCCAGATATTTGAACTACTGTACACAGCAGACAATGTACTGGTGTTAGAAACAGCAGGCAAGGCTTTAAAACTGTATTTACTTAACAGGAATGAACTGGTACAGCAAGTATAGTCAGTACAACAAGACAAATCTAAATACACCGTTTAATGATTTAATATAAGCCTACTGGAGTGAGGAAAGTAATTGGCAGAGAGAGAGCAGTATAGGACAGAGACAAATATATAGCAGTATAGGACAAATGCAGCTTATAAGTGGAGGGGACTTGTAGAACAAAGTTCTTTGCAGGTGGAGGAACAATTAGAAAGAAAGGCCACCCTTTTTAGTTCTTCCTCACAGTTTCAGGGATTTTTATCTGCATCTGGAAATAGCTAGGAATTTAATCCTCTCTCCCCATACTCCTCTAATGTAAAGCCCAAACTATGCCTAGAAAGAAGAAGAAGAAGAAGAAGAAGAAGAAGAAGAAGAAGAAGAAGAAGAAGAAGAAGAAGAAGAAGAAGAAGAAGAAGAAGAAGAAGAAGAAGAAGAAGAAGAANAAGAAAACGCTATTAGGTTTGCTCCACAGGAAATACAGTGAAAAGTACACCAAGGGAACTTCTGAATTCTCTGTTCCTGCATTGACTGCAGCTTTTATAATCCAAGGAGCCTGGTGAGTCATGTTTGGGAATTACGGACGTTGTAATACAGTGCACTGGGAGGCACCTGGCTGGGAAAGGCTGCGTTTCACAAACAGGCAAAAGAAAACGTGATTAAAAAAAAAAAAAAGCAAGCTAACGCCGAGAAAAAGAGCACCTAGGACAAAATCCTGTTCCGGGAAGCGGCTGCAATTCAGCTCACTGAGAATGGGAGCAGCGGCTGGTTTCGTTAACCAGGATTTAATTTCGGACTTACTCTACCGCCAGCTGCGGGCAACCTGCGAAGCCAGGACCAGCCGAGAGGGCATCTCTTGAACTGGCGCAACCTGGAGTCCCCTCCCGGGCGCACACCTGCTCGGGAGCGGAGCCGGGAGTAGCGAAGGGGATCAGGCGGATCCCCGCGCGGGCACTTGTTGGCTTTCGGCCACGGGCGGCTGCTCCACTTACCTTTCGTGTCGTTGGCCAGCCCCTTCCAAATCGGGGCGAAGGCTTTGCAGTGGCCGCACCAGGAGGCGTAAAACTCGACCACCCAGGCGCCAGTGGAGTTAAAGATGCGGCGTTCCAGCGTCCTGGTCTCCAGCTGCACCAGCAGGTCACCGGGCGAGTAGAGGCCGAGGCTCTGCGCCCCGGGGACCTGCACCAACAGCAAGAAGGCGACCGCCCGGACCAGGCAAGCGGCGGGCGGCATCTGATGCCGCGGTCCGGCACCGGAGAGCCGCCTGGGCATCGCGCTTAAGCCGCCACTGGGAAGCTACGACGAGAAATGCGCCCGATGCTCCGCGCCGGGCTGGAAAGTCACTCGGCCTCGCGCGGGTGGAGCTGGAGGCGGAGCGGGAGCGCTTCCCTTCCCCAAACCGAAAGGGGAGGTTCCGCCCCCAGCGCCCCGCACGTGGGGCTCTGGGTTGCCATCAGGCGCCTCCTCCGTGCGGAAGGAACCAGGGGGGGCTCCGCAAAGCGGGGAGGGGGGTGGGAAGAAGATCCTCATCCGCGGGAGTTGAGTTCCAGTAAAGCAGCCGCCAGACCAGGATTTCCAGCGGAGATTGAAAAGAATGCGGAAGCGGCTGAAGAAGTGAGGCGCCCGGAGACTGCTCTAGATTGTGGTCAAAATGCGATCCCACGATGCCATCGGTTCGGTTTTGCAACAGGCCAACATTCCAAGGCTGACCCGCTTTTTCGAGCGGGACCAACGTAATTAAAGCCATTCCCGATTCCTGGATTGCAAAGAGCCAAAGAGCTGTAATTAAAGACGTTTTTCCCTGGTAGCAATATTATGCAAATAGCTAGCTAAATAATTTTAAACTGTACGAGAGCGTTATGATTCAGTGCACCATCCTTGCATTTGCAAGGGGGACATGATAGCAGTGTTCCAATATCTCAGGGGCTGCCCCAAAGAAGAAGGAGTCAAGCTATTCTCCAAAGCGCCTGAAGGCAGGACAAGAAGCAACGGGTGAAAACTAAGCAAGGAGAGAAGCAACCTAGAACTAAGGAGAAACTTCCTGACAGTTAGAACAATTAACCAGTGGAACAACCTGCCTCCAGAAGCGGTGAATGCGCCAACACTGGAAGTTTTAAAGAAGAGACTGGACAGCCATTTGTCTGAAATGGTATAGGGTTTCCTGCCTGAGCAGGGGGTTGGACTGGATGACCTCCAAGGTCCCTTCCAACTTTACTATTATTATTATTATTATTACCTCTGAAGTCTTTATATTCTGAGAAAAGAGGAAGCTTTGTTAGCCTGATAGGAAAGTGAATGAGTGGAGAGTGAAGTATAAGAAAGCATGTATACTCTGAAAAAAGTAATTAAATTATAATTTGCTGCCATCATATGTGATGGCCACCATGGTTTCAAAAGGAAATTGCAAGCATTAATGGAGGATTGGGTTCCCCGTGGTTATTAATCTTGTACTATTGCCTGAATCTTAGGTAAGATACTTTAATGCCAGTTACAGAGGTGCAAGTGATTTGGTAGGTAGACGAGTTGGCCAGATCCTGCAGGGAGTCGGTAGAAGCAGTTTGCAGTGATGGCCTTACGAAAGGAACAGGAAGAACTGAGTTTTATGTAGGGGAGCTGTTTACACACAGAAAGCCTTAGACTCAAACTCTAGAAACGTCATTTAAAAAATCGAGAGGGGCCAGGAAGAACTGCTTTATAGGTCTCAGTGGAAACAAATCTATGTTAACTGGGTTAATGACCCAATTCAGAACAAGCAAAGCAACTTCCTTCATATGCTCAAGTCTCAGGGTGATTAGTATTCGAGGTAAGGTATTCAAAGCTTTAAAAAAAAAACAATGTAGCTTGAATAACATTTTATTCAGAATAGAATAACAGAGTTGGAAGGGACCTTGGAGGTCTTCTATTCCAACCCCCTGCTCAAGCAGTAAAGCCTATACCAGGGGTAGGCAACCTTGGCTCTTTTATGACTCTTGGACTTCAACTCCCAGAATTCCTGAGCCAGCCATGCTGGCTCAGGAATTCTGGGAGTTGAAGTCCATGAGTCATAAAAGAGCCAAGGTTGCCTACCCCTGGCCTATACCATTTCAGACTAATGGTTGTCCAATATCATCTTAAAAACCTCCAGTGTTGGAGCATCTACAATTTCTAGAGGAAAGTCATTCCACTTATTAATTGTTCTGACATACAATTCAATTATTTTCTTTTTTCATACTGAGGAATTACAGCAGTGGTTCTCAGTAGACTTAGTAGACAGCTAGTTCGGCATAGTGATTAAGACACCAGGCTAGAATCCAGGAGACCATCAGTTCTAGTCCTGCTGAACTCATGAAGCCGGAGGGATGACTTTGGGCCAGTCACTCTCTCAGCCCTAGGAAGAAGGCAATGGCAAACCACTCCTGAAATCTTTCCAAGCAAACTGCAAGGATTACAGTAGTAGACTACCTTGAGTACAGGCTTTGTTAACAGTTGCTAAGAGTTCATTTTCCTTCCAATTCTGTGTTCACAGAATAAGTCTAATACAAACTAAAATAGATCAGAAAAGAAAAATGAAAAGAAAAGAAAAACTAAAAGTGAAAAAAGAAAAAAAGTAGCCCAAACATAAAAAATACAAACAAGTAACTTCTGATCTTCTTTACAGCAGTTATATGTACAATTATAAATTGACCACTCTCTCTAAAGTTATATCATGACTCGCTTCTTTCTATATATTCTATTCTATCTAATGATCAAAACCATAAATTTTTGCATGATTTATTGATGCTGGCCCTGATTCAACAGAAGCCTGCTAGCGCAAAACATTGAGTAACTCCTCAGAAAATAATGCAGAGCCACATAGAATACATAGGGGAAGAAGCTATCCAGTTACTACTATCCAGGGAGTGTTAGCTGCATTATCAATTCTATGTGACAATACAGCTCTGATCATCACAGCAGCTGAAGAATGTTGTATTTAGATCTCCAAGTATATATTTTAGCTGATTTTTTTTAAAAATGCAAATTATGAATATAAAGCATTTAATTTTGTGACTGGTTGGAAGCACCACCCTTTATTCCTCTGGTTGAAATTCCATGTCTGCATTGCTTCATCACGGACAACTAAGCTGGGACTTATGAAATTAGAAACCAGAAGTAAATAGTAAGGAGGAAAACTAGTAACTTTAATTGAATGTAACTGAATGAAATTGAAATATTTTTTTTAGGAAATTATTAGATTTCTTTCCCAATCATTCCCATAGGAATAATACAAAAAATAAGGAGAATTTGTAACATCTCTTTCAAATTAAATGTGCACAATTTATGGAGGAATGTTAGTAACTGTATAATGAAGACTAGTAATTTAAAGAGGCACTTGGAGGAAAAAAAATACTTATTTCAAGAATAAATTGAGTATTTTTAGTTTTTCAGTCAGCAATGAAATCTCAACAAAATGATTTTTATTTTGTCAAATAATGACTTTGCTGTAGTTTTGAGTACTGTAATTTTTTCCCCTTTATTGCTAAATATAAAAAGCCATATACAACAGGAAACAGATTAACAAAGTCAACAATATTTGATGCCTGCAAAGTTGTTTTTAGTAAGGAAATACTAAATAAGATTGCCAAAACCCTGTTCTCAAATGATAGAGTTATGCTCTTCCTTGAAAAATCATCTTGTGATATTATAACTGGAAAAAATCAAAATTATACTTCAAATAGATACACATGATAGTGAGTGCAATTTTAATAGGAATAGTTCAATATCTCAATGAGAAGAAAATGATTGAACATATGTACACATACAAAGCAAACAACAAATGCTGAGCTATTTCATAATGTGATTAATATTTTTCAACAAATCACCTGCTCTGGAAAAGTGTTTTTGGTCTTTATAGTGAAGTTGCTTTGCAATGACAGGTACACACTATGGGGTTACAAGAAATGCTGATTTGCAAGTTACACACAATGTGACTCATAAAAAACAGATGCTTCTGGAAATGCCTGATGTGTTTTCTAATCACATCAACATCGTATGCGGAACTTTTTACTGTAAGACTCATTAAAACCAAATGCACACTCCAAAGATTCAATCATTCCTTCCAATATCATCAACCAGCTTTTGCAAATCGGTGTCCTCCAAATATATTGTCCTTATATCTCCTCCAATTCTCCTACTCCGTCCAGCTGCTGGATGTATTGGCTGGGAATTCTGGCAGGTACATCCTGAACATTTGTGCAGGGTATCCAATTGAGGAAGAAGGAGGAAAGCAAAAACTACATCACTGACAATGCACATTTGGAGTACAGTAAAATTGTTAAGTTGTAAAAAAATTATAATGTGCAAACCATCCCCTTCCAAAGGACCTTCCCCAAGCAGCCCAATAGTAACTCAGTGGTAAAGAGCAAAGACTTATAGCGCTGTTATGGAAAAAGGTAAAGACATTGGAGGTGAGTGGAGAGGAAGTTGATGAACTCTGCAATATTTTCTAGTGAAATGATGGGTGGGACTCTCAGCAAGCCAAGCTTTTCTGGGCTTGGAAACTAAGCAGGTTTGGCCCATGCCTGTCCACAAAGACACCAGGAACTAAGCTGGACTTGATGAAGACATTACTTTTGTGTGCAAGAAGCAAAACTATTGAAGAAAGCCCGAAATTATTGACTAAGAATAATTGTTAGAGGATGGAACTGCAGTAAGGAGATGGAATGGAATGGAATATGCTAAAAGAGGAGACGGCTTCAATAAAGCAATATTTTGTTAGAATTTCCAGTTATGCCAACTATTTGAGAGTTGTTTCTAATTTCCCTTGCATTAATTTGAAGAGCTTATTCAATGCATAATATTTGAATCAGTTGTCTTCAGCCTGTTGTGAATTACCTAAGATTGCTCATATTCTTCTTTATAATATTCTGCCTTTTCAACTAGTCCTTCAGCCAAGCACTGACAAAACATTTATGAAATACTAAAAAAAGCTGGGATGGATTGGGCCAAAAGCTTATCTAATCTTGCATTCCGTTCTGCTCAACCCAAGTGCCAGTGAAATGATGACAAGCAGGACACTTAATATCATATTTGTGGTTATGTTGCATATAGCAACTATTATTCAGAGAAGCTGTTGCCTCTGATACTAAACAGAAGAGTAACTGGGATCTTCTAGTAACATTTTTCTCAGCCCTGTCCTTTTTTTTCTCATTGCCTTTTTACCAGTTCTTAATTAATAGCAATGGTATCAGCCAGTGGTTGGATTAGCTGTGCATTACACGAAAAACATGTCCCACTGTTCAGCTTCATTATACTGTATAAGTGTGGCTTCTAACTTTATGAAGAAAA